ATGTATTTCTTTGTTGTTGGCGGCTGGTTCTAATTCAACAAAGACAAGGTTGACGAGCTTTGTTTTATCGAACCGGCTTCTGGGTCTATTGATGAAGCGGATAGTATGGCCAAGTGAAGTAAGGCTTTCCTTAATATCTTCATCCGGAATGGAGTGATGCACACCTCGGATGACAATGCGGTAAGACCTTTCCTCTTTAAGTTGCCAGGTATGAAATGGCACCTTTTTTGAGGTAAGCGATTTAGTAATGGCTCTGTACGCATCTGAATCTGAAGCCAAGATCGAAACGGAATTATCTGGGTGGCATTTAATGGAATATTTGGTTGGGTGAACGACCTTATCTGTGGATCTGATAAGTCCGTTTAAGTTTTCACAATTTTTGACCACAATTGGTGGTGGTTTGTGAGACGGTGAGGTTTCGTTGTTGTCTGAGGGCTGGTTTGGACTACCATTGCAGCTAGTCGTATTGCTATTATTGCTGCTACAGGTGTTGCCGCTGTTGCTTAAATTGTTGGTTAGAGTGTTGCTGACTTGGTTGCTGGCGTTGGTGGTGTTGGTGGTGTTGCTGGTGTTGGTGGTGTTGCTGGTGTTGCTGGTGCTGATACTGGCTTGGTTGGATCTATTTTGACCGACTGTTTGTGGTGATTTCATAATTTCATCGTCCGTGTCCATATCTGACAGATCCGAGAACCGATTGTCAGATGCTGCTGGTTTTGGGCTATTTGAATTCCTAATAATTTTCGAGCTTGAGTTGTAAGGGCTTGATCTTAAACGGCGTTTATTATTGGGACGTGGGGTCCACCAATCGTCGTCATCAGCCATAGCATCTTGCTCAGAGTCTTGAGTTGCTACTGGCCGAGCATTATTAGAGGTCGAGGCATAAATGGCGTTAAATTGGTTTATCGAGGAATTTAACGCCTCTCTCATTTTTTTCTGGGCCTCAGCCGCAATCTTTTCGATGTCAAGATCCGATTCAGCAGACATAGTGAACTTGCTTTACCGACTACGGGACCTTTTGGGAAGGCTTCACAAAGGCGATTGAGACCGAGTGGCGAATACGCGCGACCCGCAACCGGGCGGCACCCGGAACTATTACAGCTATTAGGCTTGTCTTTCGTTTCACTTTGTTTTCGCAATTGACAGAAATAGCGGAACGTGGGGGCACTGACACCACGTCCTTAGAAGTCGGATTTAGAAAAAACACAGTCGCTTTTGCCACAAAGGTGGACTTGTCCATAGACTCTTTACAATGCAAAAACGCGTCTGCACTCCACGAAAGCATAAGAAAAATTTGTATTTTCCCCTTTTTTTCTTTTTAATAGCCGAAAACACGTCCGAAGCCTTTGACAGCTAACGCAAAGCTACTCATAGATAGTAATGAAGTACTTATTTAAATAATAAAATCTAAGGAATAAGCATTAAGACAGGAAATAAACATTTTGAAATATTTGTAATTGCAATCAGCTGTTCTGGTGGCAAAATGCTTGAGAGTAGAGTTGCCGAGGGTTTAGAAAAAATTTCCTTCGCATAACATTTAGTCAGTTTGTAGATTAAATTGGCTGGTATTTTAAACAAAAACACTTTTCATATACTTTACCTAATAGCAGATATTTTAATTGTAAAACAACATAAAAAGTAATTGTTCGAAATTAATCTTAAATATATGCCGTTTTTTTTTTTTAAACACTGACAACCCTTAAATGGTCCCTCTCAAATACGACACAGCGGCAGCGGATTTGCAATAATGTTGAAGGTTAGAATCGAACCGATTTTAAGGTGCAACAACAAAATAATTATTTTTAAATCAAGTACTTTAGTATTAGCTAATTCAATTATGCAATAATGTTCCCAAAACCTCTAGGAATAGATTACAATTAACATTTGTAATATACATAATCGCATTGTATTTTAAAATAATTAATTTCTGATTTTGCGGATTTGAATCCGTCGGCCAAATGGCACACGGAAAGTTTCCGTGCATTTCGTCTGCAAATTAACAGAGACTTAACAGAGGGAAATACGAATCCGTAAGAATTTTTCGGAAGTGAACACTAGAACAGGTCAGGGAAATCCGAATCCGAATAAATTTTGCGGAAGTGGAAACTAGAACAGGCCTGTATATCTCAGAGTAGATAAAAATACTTTGAAAAACAACGAAGTTATAATTTTTTCCTATTAATTTCCCGATCATTCCTATGGCAGCTATATCATATAGTCGTCCGATTTTCATAAATTTTTATCAAAATTCTGAAATACTATAAAATGGCCATATCTATAAAATGGTGCAAAAATATTGAAAAACAACAAAGTTGTAATTTTTTCTAAAAATTTATCGAACATTTGTATGGCAGCTATATGATATAGTCGTCCGATCCGGCCCGTTCCGACATATATAGCAGTGAGAGTATAGAGACTATAGCAAAGTTTTATTCAGATAGCTTTAAAACTGAGGGAGTAGTTGCGTAGAAACGCACAGACAGACGGACATGGCTAAATCGACTCGGCTGTTGATGCTGATCAAGATTATATGTATATACTTTATAGGGTCGGAAACGTCTCCTTCACGGCGCCACAGTAGCGCCTTTTCTCATTTAGCGTTGCAAAAATCATATCTTTTGAACCAAATAAGGTAATCGAATAATTTAAACGGCATTGGACAGGTAATTGTTGTAAAATGTATATATGCACTGCATAAAGTACCACGCCCACAAATACGCCTTTTTAAAGGGGATCAAAGTGCAAAAATATTTTTTTTTTTTTCAATGAAAACAATTTTTTAAAAATATTTTTTATTTAATTTTTTGTGTTTATTTTTATGTATTTGCTCAAATAAAAATAATTTGAAAACTGAAAAAAAATATTTTCTTTAATTCAAAGTGTAACCGCCACGCGCTACAGTTAGTATATTTCTTGGAATGCAGCTCGATGCAGCCGATGAAAGTTAATTCTGGTCCAGGAAAGATCCACGTAACTTGAAGACATAGTGTAGTCGGTGGCTTTCATCGGCTTCAGAAGTTATAGACTACTTTAGGCAGAAAAGGGTGAAAAAAATTGACACCTGGCAGGTAGCGATTTACCTGTACAAGCCCAAACCAAAGTTGGGTTTTTTTGGGTTAATTAACAGTTTATGAATGTATCTATAATTTAAAGTAAAAACCATGACCATTGGTTTTATGGTTTTTGTGTAATATTACCTGAAAGTCGACCATTTTACCTACTTTTTTTTTGGTATGATGCAAAAAACAAAAGAAAGTTCAACTTTGAATGCTCATATCTTATACAAAAAAAATCTTAAAATAGATTTTATTGCAGATTCTGAATCCTCTCACTGCTATATATTTTGGAACGGGCCGGATCGGACGACTATATCATATAGCTGCCATACAAATGTTCAATAAATTTTTAGAAAAAAAAATATATATAACTTGGCTGTTTTTCAATATTATTCCATTTTAATCTACTTTGAGACATGAGCTTCTGGTATTATTTCAGAATTTTTGTATAAATTTATGAAAATCGGACAACTATATCTTATAGCTGTCATAGGAACGATAGGGAAAGTAATAGAAAAAATTATAACTTCGTTGTTTTTCAACGTATTTTCATCAACTTTGAGACATGATCTTCTGGTATTATTTCAGAATTTTGGTATACATTTTATGAAAATTGGACGACTATATCTTATAGCTGCCATAAAAGCAATCCGTAGATGTAGAGAAAATGTAAAGCTGGGAATGTATAACTGTAACTGTTGTAAGGAAGCGTCTGGGCGGCCGGGGTAAACCTCAGCGGCCCAGAGTCCCCTCACAAAATTTATAATTGTGAGACGCCCAGAACATAAAGCGCCAAATAATTAATTAGGGTAAGGGGAAAAATATATGCTTGAATTAATGTTGGCCACGCGGAATCTGTCCAGCCGCGGCGGTTCTGCCTCGAGAGTGGGCGACTCGGAAGGTTCCAGCGGTCAAGCCCGCGTCCGCGCTCGGAGTTATCCAGCGGCGGGACGAGTGGCTCGGTATATTCCAGCGGCCACGCCCTCGCCCACGCTCGGAATGATCCAGCAGCGGGGCGCCTTCGGGGCAGGAAAAAGGCTCGGAGGAGTCCAGCAGCCAAGGCATGTGTCCACGCTCGGAAGAATCCAGCAGCGGGACAGTTGGCTCGGAAGAATCCAGCGACCAACCCCAGATCCGCGCCCGGAAAAATCGAGCGGCGGGATGGCTCTCTGCCGGGCAAGAAGAAGGGGACCGGCGGCCTCGCGCAGCAAGTCCGGGTTCGGAAGAATCCAGCAGCCACGGGCTCCTGGTCCCGTCCGGCTTTCGCCCGCACCCGGAATTGCTCCGGTGCTACGGGGAAAGCAGGAGGGGAATGGTTACTGCCGACGAGGATCACCGGCCCGCAAACGAAGACGGGGGGATAAAAGCACAGTCACAATTTGGTGGCGCATTTCTAATTATATTTTATTCTCAATTAAAGTTACTGCGGCACGGGGGCGGGGTGGATCCCGACAATGGTTAATGGCCGGCGGTCATGCTCACCTACGACTGGACGCGGATGTCCTCGAAGGACCTGCAGGATGTTTTCTCGACGCGGACACGCAGTATTCACACGTGCACGTTTAGGACCTTTGCGGAGCGACGCGACTTGTAAGCTCAAGAATTTTCCGGGAATTAAAAACTGACCTAATTCTGTAGTGGGGCCGTGACCCACTTCTGCCGGCAGCGCTGCCGCGATCGATCGCAGCGTTGCCAGACGCTGCCACTATCGCCGATGAGCGCGCGTAATTCAAATAATTCCCTTCATGGGATATCCTAATTGTACAATTAATTCTAAACTTAATGTTATTTTGTGACGACAATTTAGCGTCGTCACACTGTCATAAACATAATAAGTTGTTACGGAACTGCATATTCCCTGGGCAATGCCGGACTAGCTCAGTGGATGCCCAGGGGGGGGTAGGAACCTATGCCCGCAGTCCGCACAACAAATACCGATTAATCGGACGTCTCAACAAAACTCCTCACTAACAAATAACACATCTCTAACAAATAAATGTAAACAAACAAAAAAAATGACGACTTTTGCGGAATGGTGGCATAGATGGAGTCGCCACGACGCTCCCGCCCAACCTGTGGTGCCTCCGGTGTGTCTCATGGCACCACCCATCTCCGGCGGACCGGAGTCTAATCCAGGCGGCTTGACGGCCAGCCCATCTCCCCAGGTAAATACTTTTTACTCAAAGTTCATGGCGGTTGCTTTTAATACATTATACATTTTAGGTACTTAAGGCTAACATTGGCAGAGTACACTTGAGTTCCTAATGGACTCATTCCCGGCGAAACGTCACCCTAGCCCGGGATGCGCTCGCGCCAAGACTGCGGCAGCGGAGAAGAAGTGGCGGTCCGCTTAAGGAAAAAGCCACAAACTGGCTGGAGAAGTACTCTACATTCCCTTTTCTTTTCTACCTATTATCCCTGCTGGAGCTCCAAGAGAAATAAAGGGGATGGGTAAGTATATCTTCAGTGAATATCCTCTTCTTCTAAGCCGTTCCTCAATTCTGCAGAACTAGTGTTGCACAAATCCCTGACTCAAGTTAAGAGACGCGGAGAAACAAGCACACGGAACCGATTCGAGTAAGACAAATAAATTAACCTAACATGAACAACAGCACAATAATTAATTCTATTTCAGCAACTAGAAGTCACTCGGCGACCCGCAAATGCTTCAGTGGCGTGAGTGGCCAGAAATCGCGGCAACTGATGGCGACGGCAAGCCCGAGGAAAGCAGAGACCCTCGGAGCCACGGCCACGTCGTTTCGGAGAAGGGACAGAGCCGATCAAAGTCCCAAATATGGGTACCAAAACCTGCCGGTTCCAGACGGCGCTTAATGGAACGGACTCACCGGTTGGCTTGACGGATGGCTCAATTCCCGGCTGCTACGAGGCTCGTTGGATAATTATAATTATATAATTATAATTTCACAATTTCCCAATAAAAATCGCCGTGGCCAGCGATTGATTCACTACCACGCTGAAATTAAACGTTTATTTAATACCACGCTTTTAAATCTTTCCACTTTCACCCACGTTCTTCAGGTAATTCCTAGCCGCCCAGGAGATTAGCTGCTTTTCGCATTGACTTTTCGTTGCTACTGCCGGCTTCCATGTTGCCTATCCCTCCCTATATAGGCTTCGGCCTGTCACCCGAGTTCTGACCTAGGAACCGTTCTTTCTTCGGTGCAACGGCCGAGGCCAAGGGTAAAAACCCTTTCTCTTAATTCCCTTAACCAAAGCCCGTTACTTATTCCCGGTTCGCTCTTTCAAATCCCTGCCCCCCTGGTCCTAAAGATCCTGCCTCTATCGATCTATCGATAGTCCTCCAGCCCATTCCGATTGAAAAGTTTAGTGTCTGTTTTCGGCATTATAATTTATAATATAAATATGAAAACCAATCTGCAAGGGTATACAAACTTCGGCGTGCCGAAGTTAGCTTCCTTTCTCGTTTTAAATCATACTTATTCGACAGAAAATTTCCCAAATATTCAGAATTTGCAATACAATAAATTTTAAGATTTTTTTTAGAATATATGAGCATTCAACGTGTTAAGACCCAAATAAGGTCCTGCATGTGCAGCCATCGGCTTGGGCCATGCCTCGGCTAGCTCTTTCTCAGGCATTGGTTCTTGGCCCGGCCCACTGACACACGTAACAGATAAAATTTATTTTTTTTTAAACATCCCGCCCTAGACGAGACGTTACACAGCACTAATACTTGCACAACTTCGAACTGAACGAAACATTCACCTAAACGACACATACATATTCAGAAACGATCAATCATCTGGGAGACTCCTGGATGTCCTTTGGAGCTCCCCTGCCTTCCCCTCCCATCCTTTGCAGGCTGCTGGCAGGAACTGTTTATGCAGCTGCCCCTATCATCTTCGTACTTACACCACTTACGCCATCGCTCCCTTCTCCCTTCCCATGAAGAAAACTACTCCATATTCATAACTTCCTAACTTTAATCACAATTGTTCAACAAAAGGAAATTACATGTGTTGTTGTATTTATAATTAGCGTTCGCCTAACTTTTCTTTTTGTATTGTTCCATTCAAGTAAGAATGATCGGATCTTAAGTTCCCAAAAACAAAAAAACAGAATCCTTTGCCTACCTGTCTGAGCGCTCAAAACGGGGGGAAAAGAATATCCGAGGGGAAGTGGATACACAAACCAAATAGATACAAAAACAATCGCTAGGCAAACACCTGAATTATAAATAATAAAAAAAGAAAATGAATACATCAAAATAAATAGATAAATAAATAAATAATTAAAAAAAAATAATAATAATAAATAAACAAATAACGGGATTATTTTGAATAACGAAATAAATATATAAAACAATGCCATAAATAATTTAAAAAAAACTAAACGACCACTAACTCTAAACAAAAAAAAAAAAAACTCTTATTGAAGCCTTGGGGTGCCTCCGGTTCCGCCCCTTTGTAGGCGTGTCGGTCCTCAAGTAGGCGGTACTGTGCCGGCGAGGTTACGACCACAGTCGCTGGACAAAATATGGGCACACGTGCTGTTTGGTTCCCTCCCAGAATTTTAGATTAAATGTTTCGGCCAGCGAATAGGCCCATAGAAATTGGTGGTGGCATAAAATTTAGCGGCACAAACCAATTTGCGGCATCAACATATTAGGGGGTCCAAATAAAAATGTACCGCGCCAAGATAAAACTTATACGGCCACAAAAGAAAATATTGTACGCCAACAAAGACAACAATAGGCGGAAAAAAAAAATTTCGCCAGGCCCGGATCCTGGCCTGGCGTTCCTCCTTTGGAACCTGGTCCTGGTCGGCTTCTATATTTAAGAACACAATATTTATTCTCTCCTAGCTGCCTGCCTGGTCCCTGACCACTCACCTCTATGGTTCGCCGATCCAGCTTCCCAGGTCCATATCTTCTTGCTGTCTCACATTTTGCTTTTCTCTTTTTCTATTTTCACTTTTCATTTTCTTGAAACAATATTTCGGCGGCCGATTTTCATTTATTTTTGGGTTTGAATACTACATAACGCCGAGCCGTCGTCACACCGCGGTCTCGCGCTCGAATTGCTTCTACACTCCGGATTCAAACCAACGGAGGCAGCGACAACCGACAACACGCCATTCGAACTCCGTTAGGTTTTTCGAGTTCCCCTTTATCGGGTTAATGAACCCCTTTCCCTAAACGGCCTAAGTTGGCAGTCCTCTCACCAACCTATCGATATCTTCGCGATTACCGATAAGGCGGACACAACAACACACTGACATTGGTCGACGTAAACAAAGAAACAATGGCAGTGAAAAATGTCCGTATTTCAGATGCCAATAAAGGAAAGCAATGAAGTACAGGATTAGCGCAGGACCTTACTTCGTTCAGCGCCCAACGCGGGAGACCGCCCACGACCCTGAGACATTTCGTTCAACCGGCAGTTCCGACTGAGTACATTCCGTCCTCGTCAACGCCTCTGCCTCTCCGCGAGCCTACCTACAAATCCGGACCGCTTCAGCTAAGTACCTAAACGCAACACCTAACAAAAAAGAACATCACTAGTAATAAATTAACGAATATTATCTAACATCACAAATACCTATATACTAAAATAAATAAATAAATAAGCAAACTAAAACAACCAACGAGATAAACAAAACAAATACTGACGGAAATCCACTCATTCATTCATTTGTCTATCCCTTCTCTTACAGGTGGAATGGGGAAGGGTTACCCGGCGCGAAGTACTGTGTGTGACTTATATACAATCTGATCGCTTCCTATATATGTGTGTGGACACGTAAGGCAACAATACTAACCACACAAAACACTTATTTGGCACAGTCGACTATACAAAACCTCACTAGCAATGACGTTTGATAGTCAAGTTGCCAAATACAAAACAAAAACATAACCAACCATCCTCTCTTCTTCCCTCAGGTGCAAATGGACAAGTACAAATTGGAACAGATGCAACTCTCTCACACATCGGAGCAGAGGCCACCGTCCTTCGCCGGGACGCAGCGCAAGGTCACCGAATATTGGGCCCTGGGTCGCCGGACGTTGTCGTGTCTCACCACCCGGGAAAAAGGAGGAACCAGTTACATTCTTTTTAAGCTATTATTTTATCCCTTTGTACTATTCTGCCCTACATAAAACCCCCTTTTAATTCTAACTTTCCTGCTATCACTTCTTTGGTCTTAGTCCGTTGTTTGTGTCCGATGTCAATGCCAACGTTTCGCAAACTGATCCTTTCTATCTGGTCAGTGTCGAACTTGGCCTTCTCCTTCCCCGGTCGCTATATGCCCTTGCATCATTGCTAGACATAGTCACCGGGTTTACCTTTTCTTCGTTTCTGTCCGATATTTATCCTAATTCAAATTACTGATTAAATTAAGGCTATACCACAGATTAATATCACAATTTTGTGACTTTTGTCAGTCAGCTTGCGCAAATCAATTTATTTGGTTTAGCCGCATACTTGATGACTTCAAGTCTGCTTCTAGAAGCCCCGTTTTAGGACATTAATCCGTCACCTCTATTTGCTTTCTAATTTCGTTGTTTAAAGAATCAGAGATTTAGTCTACAGACTTCGCGAGAAATCCCTGATCCTACAAACCAAGAAACTATTAGTGTCCTTTTTGTGGAGGACATAGTGTTGCTTACCATTGGGCGCCATTTTTGTTATGACCCTACAAGGTCCTGCATGTGCAGCCATCGGCTTGGGCCATGCCTCGGCTAGCTCTTTCTCAGGCATTGGTTCTTGGCCCGGCCCACTGACACACGTAACAGATAAAATTTATTTTTTTTTTAAACATCCCGCCCTAGACGAGACGTTACACAGCACTAATACTTGCACAACTTCGAACTGAACGAAACATTCACCTAAACGACACATACATATTCAGAAACGATCCGTCATCTGGGAGACTCCTGGATGTCCGTTGGAGCTCCCCTGCCTTCCCCTCCCATACTTTGCAGGCTGCTGGCAGGAACTGTTTATGCAGCTGCCCCTATCATCTTCGTACTTACACCACTTACGCCATCGCTCCCTTCTCCCTTCCCATGAAGAAAACTACTCCATATTCATAACTTCCTAACTTTAATCACAACTGTTCAACAAAAGGAAATTACATGTGTTGTTGTATTTATAATTAGCGTTCGCCTAACTTTTCTTTTTGTATTGTTCCATTCAAGTAAGAATGATCGGATCTTAAGTTCCCAAAAACAAAAAAACAGAATCCTTTGCCTACCTGTCTGAGCGCTCAAAACGGGGGGGAAAAGAATATCCGAGGGGAAGTGGATACACAAACCAAATAGATACAAAAACAATCGCTAGGCAAACACAAATAAAAAAAAATTACACCTGAATTATAAATAATAAAAAAAGAAAATGAATACATCAAAATAAATAGATAAATAAATAAATAATTTAAAAAAAATAATAATAAATAAACAAATAACGGGATTATTTTGAATAACGAAATAAATATATAAAACAATGTTATAAATAATTTAAAAAAAACTAAACGACCACTAACTCTAAACAAAAAAAAAAAAAACTCTTATTGAAGCCTTGGGGTGGCTCCCGTTGCCGCCCCTTTGTAGGCGTGTCGGTCCTCAAGTAGGCGGTACTGTGCCGGCGAGGTTACGACCACAGTCGCTGGACAAAATATGGGCACACGTGCTGTTTGGTTCCCTCCCAGAATTTTAGATTAAATGTTTCGGCCAGCGAATAGGCCCATAGAAATTGGTGGTGGCATAAAATTTAGCGGCACAAACCAATTTGCGGCATCAACATATTAGGGGGTCCAAATAAAAATGTACCGCGCCAAGATAAAACTTATACGGCCACAAAAAGAAAATATTGTACGCCGACAAAGACAACAATATGGCGCCCAATTTAAAAAAAAAAAAAAAAAATTTCATCGGGATGAGGACGTCTTGTCCAGTCACGTCCTGGGCTATCCAGCCTCCACGAAGGGTGGCTTGCGAGGCCTATATTA